CGATGGTTACCGAGTTGCGCCGGAATCCGAGCAGCACTTCCAGTATCTCTCGCTGCAGCCTAGGGCTCGGCTCTATGCAGTCGCTGAATACCATGCTGTAATTGTCGGGCAGTTGTGATTTCTGGCCATTCCACTGAAGGTGAATCTCGTACCCAGCCCCGTCGAGTTGCCGCATTGACTGCTCAACTTCAGTCTTCACACTGCGGTCCTTCCTGTGCCAGGAAGGCTCAGGGCTGATGCTGCCTTGATCAACTTCCCGTTGCCGGTTCAGCTGTACGCCACAGTAGGTGCTGTTGGCGCGGGTTGGTCGATCATCATTGTTTAATACTGCTCCGATACATGTCCAACCTAGTGGCGTTCTGCGAGCTAGCGGTTCTCCGGGCTTGCCATTGACTTCCTCCCAGCAAGAATGCAATTCACTATGATCACTGCCAATTATTCCTCGGTGAGAGCCGTGAAGGGAACATCTCGCAGGTGGTCCCATTGTGCTGCCGCATTCGCCCAGTCAACGGCCTTCAAGTTGCTTGCAATGTTGTCAATAGTTAGCGCCGTTAATTTGGACTGGAATGTTCCGTCAGCGCTTTCCACTGTGATGTTGACCGGCGTCGTGACGAATGTTTCCGTCAACCCGCTCAGAAGAGAAACTGGTGCCTGCTGCGGTCTTCCTGCCACCCTCAACTGCCCGGCAGCTGCAGTGGTTATGTAGGTGGTAGTGCTGCAATCGTCCAACATAGCGTTAACCTGTAGCCGTACTCCTTCATGCACAAGCCACACCGGGAGGATGCGTAACGAGACCGATGGTACTCCACGTGGCCAATCTTCTCCCAGATCGGGCTCCCCTTCCGTGATGTTGCATGCTTGGATGGAGCAATTAATAGAGGCTGGCTCTATTGCAGGTGTTGTTGCCCCTCTTGTGCTGATTGAAGCTGTGGGAGCGCTTGACGATGCTACATCACTGCTCATGGCTGCTTCAGACAGGTTCCGTTTCTGCTGCGGTTGACGATCATGAAGCAGCTGGTGATGTGTCTGACTGCAGCCACTGACACCACACTTCCTATTTCTGGTACAGGATGTCCCTCAATGTCCAGTGCCAAGGCACCTATAGCAGAGGCCTTTCTTCTTTGCTGTTTCCCAACGCCTGATGGGCGACTCGCTCTTGAAGATGTCACAACTCCATGTGTGATGGGGCGCATCACATACTGCACACTGGATTTTGGCAGCGCTCTGACCAGAGGCCAGGAATGATGACGCGTGGGCTCCGGAGCTGCCACCGAACGTGGGCCGACTTCTTGCAGGGGCTGGTTTAGTCGACAGTGCCGCTGCATGACCATCCGCACAACTGACTCCGTGGGCCATCTCCGCTGCTCCAGTAGGCTGGGCGATGGTCTTCTGGAGCAGTGGAGATAGCCCACTGCTTCCGCTGACTGTCTGCTGGGATGCAAGCATCTCTGGCCTCATTCCGTTTGCGCTGTTGGCGCTGGCAATCTGGAGTGCTAACGTTTCAGCCGGTGACACAGGTAGGTTGCTGGTCATGCTGATCGCTCCAACGCCGTTCGCGCTGTTTGCGCTGATCAATCCCCAAGGCGGTGTTCCTTCAGAGGTCACAGGCTGTGCGCTGTCCGCGCTGGTCTGAATTTCCGACGAGTGCACAGGCTCGGATCCAGGCGGCCTGCCAATTGCGCTGAATAGCGTTGCAGGCTCAGATCCAGGCGGCCTGCCGGTTGCGCTGAATAGCGTTGCAGGCTCTGGTCCAGGCGGCCTGCCGGCTGCGCTGAATAGCGTTGCAGGCACTGGTGCAGACTCTGGATCTGACGCATGTGGTGCGCTGCTCGCGTTCATCTGGGGAACAGCCGCGGACAAAGGCGGACCGCTTGTCGCTCTGTTTGCGCTGTCCAAGTGCCCGGTGGTGCCAGGCTCTAAAGCGGCAGCAGCTGGCGCGCCGCTCCCTCCAACCTGCGCCGCAGCCGCGGACAGAGGCGAGCCGCTTGCCGCTCTGCTCGCGCTGACCTGGGTCTTAGACGGAGTGAGCGCTCGTCGGCTCGTACGTGTAGCCATGGTAGCCGTAGTCGTACGCTAGTCCACGTGCAGCAGTAGACTCCGAGGCCTCAAATGAACTTCTGCCGTGTGCGTGCAGGTAGCTCCGGGCTCCAGCCCAACTGTGCATAGTGCTTGCGGCAGGTCCGCTGTACCCGTACCCGACCTCTGAAGCTAGTTCGCGTCGAGCCTGGACTGGGTGGGGCCGCTGTGAGACGCCCAGGTAGTCAGTTTCCTCCGCGTAACTACATACCTGCCCACGTACGTCCTCCAAAATGCTCTCGGTTGCGGTGGTGAATTGTTCCTCGAGCAATTCCGCTTCCCGCAGCGTTACTTCCATTCGCTTCTCTTCGTTGGTTGAGCTGTACAGACTGACGAGGTTCATGATAGCACTGGTGGCGTTGTCATAATGTGAGCTTAGCTCGGCTAGCTCGTCGTTAGCTTGCTCTCCTTGCACTCCGCCATTCATGGAGCGCACAAGAAGTGTCCGCCGCGCGTTGGTGAAGTGTTTTTTAGTCACCATTTTTTCTCTAAGCAGCTCGCTAAGCTTCTCGCGCTTGTTCTCTACTGCCGCTGGTTCTTCTCGGTGGTTTGCTTCCTCGGTGCTGGCAGTCCCGTCCTCCGCGGCATGGCTGTCTTCCTCCTTGTCCTCTTTGACTGGAGACTCCATAGCCGCGCTTAGGTGGAACGTTCAGCACTTACGAGGTCGACTCGACTTAATTAACCATCCTCTGCTACCAATATGTTCTGTAGAGGCGTGCTCCTGCCTCGGCACACACCCAAACCACACAAAGGACCAGCTCGCGACTATCAAGAGAACTCTGTTAGAAAACTCTGGCTCCAAGCCGCAATTGCTTGAAACCTTTCACCGAACACGTAAGCACTATAGCCTACTATAGCCAACTGACTACTGCAGTGAAAACGTCTAGCTTATAACACTTGCATGCCAAGAGCTCCATCAGCAGGCGCGAAAGAAGGTGAAGACAAAGCCTGTGACTTTAAAGTGTGAACCCCAACGAAAGTCACAGCTACATATAACACGAAACGAGGATGCATGTCAGTGACACGTGCGACCTCCTGAACAATTAGTGCGGATTACCCAATCTCCGGAAAGCATGCTACTTCAACCTTACTAGGTCTCGTCAGCGGAGCTCAGAGTTGTTGGCCGAACCAGTCGGAATGAAGTTGAATGAACAAGAAAGCATTTTTTTAACCAGCTCAAAGCGCTAAAGTCAGTGTGCTCTAACTGCGATAAGCACAGTGGTTTGAATAAAGTTGTTACAGATGAGCAGCCAAGGTCTTTAGGACAAACAGTTTATCCTGGAGTGAATAGTGAAGTTTTGTGGTTTTGACCCGAGCAGTCTGAATTCTACGAACACGAACAATGTCACACTGTGCGCGTGTTTGCAGGTGTGTGTGTGTGCGTGTGTGTGTGTGTGTGTGTGTGCTCATGTTCCGTGTGTGTATGCGTGTGCATTCGTAAGAGCATGTAAATTGACGAGCAGAACAGATGAAAGAACTTGTTTGCAGGCCCATTTCCTTCGGTCAGTCACAAGAATCGTCCTTAACCACATCGACAAACTCACATCTTCATGAACTGGATTGACGGGGTAGGAGAACTTCTTGGCAACTGCTACCCTGGCCTCTGCCATTCCTGCATGGGATTGACAGAGACAGAACGGATCAGCCAGATTGCAAATACACTATCGCCGGAATTCACATTCCGATATGCAAACCCGTCTACATGGGGACGGCGGTGCACAAGATTTCCATGTGCGTACTAATATGCACTTGATATGTCTACATTGACGTATTGAGGTCCGATCCTGCACAAATCGGAGGGAGATGATGGATGGGAAACGTGGGCGGCTTTGCACTGGACGCCGGAAAGCACACTGGTATTGAGCATGAGCCAAACACTCACAAAATGATGTCATATTTTCACTCCACCTCCGATCCGCAACAAACGAATACCGCACTCGCGCGATCACAGCCCTCTCTCGAATAGTGAATCGTGATAGTTGACAGTAAACTTTAGGTTCTGTTTTTCTTTGCTTTTTTGTTTTTACGCTGGATGGCGTAAATGTACCAGCATTGAAAAAAGTAGTGCCGTCTCTGGAATAGTGCCGTCTCTGGAATAGTGCCCCATCTGTGATGTGAGAAATAGTGCCCCAGGGATACTATGCGTGCGTGTACCATAGTCCTTGGCTACACTATTTACAGCGATGTGCGATCTGATTCGTCTGAAGTGTCAAAATTCTTTTTTATTATAATGATGCTAACTTGAAATTGTACTGGGCTAGCAACCACATCACTGCATGATGGCGCTGAATTTTGTGGGGACAGTGGGGGGGGGGGGGGGGGGGGGGGTGGGGATACGGTGTAATTTCCGGCATCTTGTCGACATTGGTGTATACAGCAGCCAGGTAATGGAGGCGAAACATAGCAATCAATACCATGCCACGAGTTCCCATAAATTATCTATTGGTCGCAGCACGGCTGGAAAAATCCTTCTGCTTCCAATCAGGAGTTGAACCTGGTACATGTACCCTCCGTTTCTCAATCATGATCTTAGACCGTGCCACTATGCATGCCTTTTCTGTTTGGGAATAAAGGTGAGGTACACTGCACAATGATGTTTTCATTTCTGACCTCATAGTAGTTAGCAAAGAGTTTTGTTCACAACGATCCGAGAGCATTTTTTTGGTGGAATTACAATTTGAAATGACCTACTCAATGCAAAAGTACCATTTTTGTTGAACAGACTGTACCAAGCGGATTGGATTCTTTCGTTTTTCCTGACCATAACTACACACTTCCCATTCTTCACAGTCAGTCCCATACAGTTTGCTAACTCTCACCTGGTGTTTTTTTGTAATCATTATCTTTACCAGCTTGCAGTACATCAGTCACAGCCTGGATAACAACAGGTGATGGAGGTAGGTTCTTGTAGAATGTCGGATCACCTGCATACAGTGAAGGGTAGAGTCAAGAACCACACCATCATCCATACAAACACACACACACACACACACACACACACACACACACACACACACCCGCACACACACACACACGCACAGTCGCACACACACAAAATGCATGGATACACAAAATTACATGGACACACACGCACACACGCAACAAACATGAACCTGTGAAATATGGCGGGTTCTGGACCTGGGTCTGGGCCATGCCCCAAAGCGGGGTATCATAACCCCTTTTGCTCTATAATATAGGCAAGTGTATTATACTTGTGCATGTGCACGGTTTTCACATGATCAAGTCCCGGGACGCACCGGCAGACATCTGGCCCATAGGCAACCAGCTAAATAGCTGTTGACTGCATCCACGCTGTGGTTCGATTGGGTAATTTTCTTTAAACGTACGTCTGAATGTTCCAGCACACTCAATGTATGTATCCAATGAGACAACGAGGGCCAGTCAGGGCAGCTCAAACGGTCATTTCAACTCCATGTACCGTGATGCTGAGCAAAGTGCACACTGATAGAGGAAAGGCTGTTAATCAGTTTGAAACGGGGGATCCGATCAGAAATCATTGATTATTGGTTGCTTCTTAGCGGGCCTACATCTAGGCGTTAGCCTAGTGCCGCGGCACTGAGTCATCGTGCATGTGTGATTGTACTAGTTGATAGGCACGCACCATCTGCTGGGTTGGATGAAGGAAACCCCCGACTCTTTTTTATTGCGGAAAGTGTTATCAAGGGTTAACTCTCACATGTTCCGTCTCAGAGTAGCTACAGAAGTTAGCATTTCCAGTGCTATAATTATGGAGTTTATGTGAAGAGCACCATCACTGCACATACTTCCTTTTGGGTGGGTAACCAGTGTTTGATATCATTGCATGTGTTTTTTTTGCATTCAGTGTGAAAACCTGCGCTTGTGATGACACAGTTTTGCCACCCCAACAGTACAATGATGGTGACATGACAATCGTTTCCTTTGGACCTTTCCCCCTCTTTTCAACTCCTTCAAACTGATGAATGATTTTTTTAGGTCATTTTCCTAAAAACAGATTACTGTTACCGGTATATACCTCACATGTTCATACGTTTTGTACCTTCCATGTAGACCCAGGTGCTCGAAGTCCGTACATGCTATCCTAAGTTCGTACGCCCATTATTTCATGTTTTGTTATTGTATTCGACTCAAATATTTTATGGAGGGGACAGTGTGGTATGTTCTCGTCGCGTAGCAATTTTCAGGGATCTACGATAAGCAGAAGTCCCATACCACGCGTGTGGGTTTTCGAGTGTCCATACGAAATACAAATTGGGTTACATTTCATGCAAAAATCAACTTTGCCAAGACCGATTTCGAACGGACAAAGCGTCAAACAGACCTTCACTCAATCATCAAGAGCCAGCTTAGAGTTAAGAATGGCCCGAGGAGAAAAATGTACAGAGAACCACCAATCATTGCAGAAAGGTTGACACTCCTGGCATCTCCACCACTGTTTTCCCCGCGGTTTTCACAGCGCAGCTGCTTCTTCTCTGAGCCGACTAAAAACAGCTTGCATTTCGGCAACAAACTACGCTTATGCAAGAAATACTGGTGGAGGCACATGCCAAACATATCGCTTCGGTGCTTTCGTCGTAACCGAGGGATTGCAAGTTAGCAATTAACAGAAATACACCGTATTTCCCCGTAAGTTAGTACGTACTAACTTTCGAACTTAGGCTGTGTTTACATGAGGCGTTTCAACCCGGGTTGAGTTCGACCCGGGTCAGATTTCAACCCGCCATGTGCACAAAATGAATGGCGCGTTTACATGACGCATTGCGCTTGACCCTGGTTGAAATTTCGCCCCGGGTTGAAACTTTTTTTTTAACAGGAAAAATATTTTTTATTAAACTCTCAAAATAGAAATGAAAAACGTAAAATGTTTGGCACCTATGAAGTCGGGGGATGGCCCACGCCTGGTAAAAAAACCAATGAGGAGTTAAATACAAAGAAAACGAACTGAAAATACAAAAGTAAATGAAAAACCATTACCAAAGAAACTGTACTGTATCATGTACACCGCTTATGGCACCAGGACACATTCAGCAGCCGCCAGCACAGCCGAACCAGACAGATGTCGAGGCGGGTTCCGACGGTGACCACGTAGACTGGCAACCATTGCCCGAACAAGGCAAAAGGAGATCTTCGCCCGTACAAAAGCCATCATAACCGGGAAAGGCTCACGGCGCTTTTCACACAGCTTGCTGGCAATCCTGGCGAAGAGGGCCGAAGCAGCTTTCCCCTGGCCGCCAGTGGTTGCAAAAACCACGGGAACAAACGAGGAATGCTCCACCTCCAGGACTCGCCGTTCATACTTACGCCTCTTCTCCTGCTCGTGCTTTCTGTAGACAGACGGGAGAGTAAGGTTTCGGTTGGAGGGGACAACAGGGTTAAACACTCGAACATCAAACATTGTCCTCTCTAACCTACTCCCATACACTCCACGTGCTGCCACATCAAGACGAGCATGAGCCTCCGTGTTGGCCGACCGGAGAGGGAATGTTTCACCAGAGAGGGGTTCCAACTCTGGCTCCACGCTGACGTCATGCGCAACCTCACGCAACAGATTGGCGGTTAGATCCCGGAGCTCGTTGTGGCGCATCCCAGTGAATCCTCCGATGGCACATGATAGGGCATGGGTGGTGTCGAAGGGCTTTCCACAGGTGCAGTGAGACGGCAACCGGGGAGGGGTCCAGCCGTAGCGCAGACATAGGGCATCCCGGAAGCCAGCCTTGTGGATGGTAAACTGGAACCGGCGAGATGGCCGACTAGTGAGCCAACTGGAGGCACCTTTCTCTGCGGCTAGATCCAGAGTCCGCCTGTGGTCATCACTCAGGGTATCCCTGAGGGAGGAGAGGGCCATTGCCTGATCTTGGCGATTAGCTGTGCGTTGGGCCGCCTTGGCTGCCTTGGTGGCAGCAACAACTTCCTCGATGGATTCCTCCTGCCGAAGGAGCTGCTCGACTAGAGGTCTGGTGACAGCCGTAGACGTGTCGTACTGCTGGGAAAGAGTCCCTGGCGTTAGAATTCCCAAACCACCATGACGACACCGAAGCGCCAGGATGGTACGTTCTTAGTCAGTGCAGGGAGGAAAACTTGGCTGATGGAGTTTTCCAGCGGTGTCAGGAGGTCCGCGATGGCTGGCATTGTCCTCGCAAGGAATGACCACTTATGGCGGAGACCATGGGTAAGGACAGCGTAAGCAGCCTAAGGTTGAGACGCCGCATGTTTGGCGAGGGTCTGCAGCTCTGTGCACCATGTGTCTACCTTCTGCGACACGTAACCGTCGCAGAACAGGGCAGAGCCTAGGGCAGCACCAAGATGACGATAGCCGTCCGTCCGGATGTTAACCCCGGTTGTGGCAAACAATTCTGTTGCTAGCGCAAGATGTTGTGGCTTCACGAGGAGAACGGACTTTGACGGGTTGATGTCGTAACCATACCTGGTGCCTCGATCTACTAGGATGGACCACCAGGTGCGCATTCGTCGGAGAGCGCCGGCTGAAGTTGCGTCATCGGCATACCAGGACTGCATGGCCCCAGCTGCGGCGGCTTCCCGGATCAGTGGCATTGTGCCAAGCGCATACATCGGCATAGCCAATGGGTCTCCTTGAGTGGTGCCCTCAGAAGACAGGATCACCTCTCCTCCAACATACAGGTGAGCTGGAGAGCGGTAGGTGTTGATAACAGCTGGCGCGAGCTCAGGACATAGCCGCTGAACATTGCGCAGGCAAACAGCTCTATTTAGGCGAACAGGACTCCCTCCGTGTGGTCATCATCGAAGGTGGTCTTCACCGCATGGGAAGGGTTGAAACCAACCCGGGTCAAGAAAATCGTACAAACGTACTTCTGTGCGTATCTCGCGCCAGGTTTGAACAGCACTGCAGATGCAAATTTCGCGCGAACGGATTCACGTGACCATGCAGGACTGTAGAAGTGGACCTTTGGCGGCATATCAGTATTTGACCCGGGTCAACTGTCTTCATGTAAACGCTCACCTCTTTTGTCTATCGTACACACTTTCAACCCGGGCTGAACTCGACCCGGGTTGAAATTTCTCATGTAAACACAGCCTTAGCAGCCACATGAGTACTAACTTTCGGGGGTGGTACTATCTTTCGGGGAGTACCTTTTTATCGGAGGTAAATGACACGCAGTGGGAAGCCTGCGCAACTCTACTGTCCGTGCCTGTGATGTATATGTACCGTACGGTGTCTGTACATGTAGGACGGGTACGAACTTACTATCTTTCGGGGGGAACTGTCTTTCGGGGTGATAACTTTTTGAATGCAGAGTACGGGGCAGTTGTGACTTTTTGAGCTCTGCAAATTTTCAAGCCCAACCGGCACTAGGCCGGTCTGGAGGTAGCTAGGTAGGCATAACAGGCCCCTTGATGTGACAATGTCGTCTGAGGAGTCACCCACCGCACCAGCAGATGTAGACCTTGCTGTGATGGACAATCAGGAGATCCGGCATCTCGCCAAGAGTCACAGACTGGAACACTCGGGACTTTCCCGTACCCAGATAGTCAAGCTTCTTCGCGACAACGGTATTGGTTCGTCGACAAACTCAGCAGGTCAGTCTGACAAGGTGCGCGATGTTGTTCAGCAGGCATTGGCCGATATTGCAAAAAATGTTAAAGAATTGGCCGCCAAGGTAGCCCTAATTTCTGCCTTGCAGTTGGAGGTGTCGTCCCTTCGAGGAGAATTGGCGGCTCTCAAAGAAAGGAACTCTGATCATGACCCTGTACAAACTAGCACACCTGAACCTCAACCCGTACGTGTACAACCGCCTGCTGACAGCGTCAGGTTGTACAGCGCGGCGGCACGGGCACAGTCGTCACAGGGGGCTATGATTCCGAGACCTCCGGTCGGATGAGCCTCGCCAACCACATCGGCACATCGCCCCTACTCCCCTTTGTCTTGTTGTCCAGCGTCATTTCA